CTCCACTTTTAAAATAATAATTTCTGCAAATGTAGTGAATTCATTATTAACCTTCATCATGGACGTCATGTTTTATGGTTAAAACAAAATAGCCCTGAAATATTTTTAACCAGAGAGGCAGCAAAGGTTGTTAAACTGTGAAAGTGTGGATTTAAACTCAGGGATATCTGCCAGGACTCTTCTGTAGCAGGAGTATGTTCATTCAGCATAATTTGGCTGTTTTAGGTTGAATTTAACTGGATACACATTATGTTTTACAGTGACTCTTTATCCTTCGGCACTGCGGATGTTTGCTGAACGTGGCTGTATTACCGTTATGAATCAATACCTGTGGTTCTAAACTATATTAGCAAAAGCCTGTGCAGATAAGGCACAACAGACAGATGATTAAAATCATCTGTTCTTCATGAAGTCTCATGTTTTTCTTTTTGGAATCAGATTTCACAGACAGGTATACAGCTTATGTGCAGGAGGGTCAAATTTAAAAGCATGAACTTGTTATTATGATGAAGTAATTTGCAGCACCGAACCTCAACTACATTTAGGAAAACTCAAAACACCTCGTTTATACAAGATTTATACACAAACACAGCATTAAATAAAATCACTGGTTTTGGTTTGACGAATGTTGGAAACATCTGGCATAAAGTGAATATGAAAATATTAAAAATCTATATTTCATTGGTCCGCGGCTAAAAAATGAAGCTCCCAAACCTGCAGTTCCTGTAACGTCCAGCAGGGGCAGCAGTGAGTCAGTCCCCATAGACTCCCATGTTAAAACTTTACAGCAGAAATAAACGTTTACAGCCTGATACAAACTGTTTGGTCTCTGTGGGTCATTTCTCCTTCATAACGCCTGTGCGGGGTGTTATGAAGGCTAAGGCTTATTGGGGGCGGGGCCTCTTTGACTGACAGGTGCAGGCTTCATCCAAGAATTCATCAGCTATCATGTGACCTGTCTTAGAATAAACACTAGGTGTGTTTGTGGTTCCAGGACACCTTTTCTGGGTTTTTAGCATTTTTGTGTTCACATCATAAGCGACTGCACGAGTACGTCTGACTTCAGGTCCCGTGAATACGTGCTCTGTGTCTCTGAGACTGACTCGGCGCTCATTTTATCCCAGGCCAGTGGGGAACCTGTAAAGCCTTCCTACACAACAATCAAAGTTTCCTGGCTGGAAGGACTCTACCTGTCAGACTCATTTGTTTTCCATCCAGTTTGTAAGTTTGCGTCTCCCGTGCTTCCTCTCCTGCCCTCGGCTCTAACGTCCCCGAAGAAGAGAGTCGATAAAGTTAACCAATCACGCACATTTAGGCCTACCTTAGTGGGAGCGAGTTTATTTACAGACACACGAGTATCACCTTTGTTCCTCCTCATCCATTATTCATGACCCTGCTGTTTATCAGTCATTGCATTTGGAATATGAATTTGCAGCAGTATTCCCTAAAGCCTCGGTTTACAGAGTCGACGGCCTCGTGTGAAATGAGCTGTTTATCTATGTTTCGTTTCATAATTTATTTTGAAGGTTGCTTAAAAAACATAAAAACAACCTGGCTTTATGTTTAATCTATTTTAGAGTTCAAGGGGAAAAAACTGCAAATGGCTGCAGCTGAATTTGTTTCATAGCTTCCATAAATTTAAAGGCAGATGCAGTTTTCCAAGTATAATTATGTTTGGGCTAAAGCCCAGCGGCTCACAGCCACAGCGCGTTAATTGAGCTCTCGTTTGTCGCTGGAGGAGAAACTGACGTTTATAAAATATAGAAAGTGGAATTAAGTCTGCGTTTGTCTGCAGAGGTGTCGCCTCGTGCCCACGCCTCCTCGCTTACCCGCCGTGGGACAAACTCGTCTACCATGAAAACTCACAAAGTGCTTCACAGCAGCGAATGCTTTCAGTATTGTGTTGTTCCTGCACGCTGCGACCTGCACAGGAGAGGCGCTTGACTGACTCGTTAGCGAGGTGACATTTAACAGCACACACGTGGACGTTATTTAGAGCCGCGGAGGAGATCGCTGCTTCTGTGCAGCTGTAAAGCAGCAGGCAGGACAGCGCTGCGGTGTGGTGGTCTCCTCACGTCAGCCTTCACCACAAACACGGAGCTGAAGGCGAGTTTCTCCTTCGTCCAGATGACGCGTGTAACAACTGAGAGCTGCCAATTAATGCTGCTAAACAAGCTCCATTAATGGACTTTCATTTTCACCTTGGGGCGGCTTAACAAGGTAACACCTACACTGATTAACATCCAGGACAGAATCTGGCAAGATGTTGAAGAGGTTTAAATGCCCCCTTGTGACCAGCACCACCACCCAGCCACCACCTACATATATAATATCTGCTGCCCCAAATCTTTAACTGTGAAGTAATGATATCTGGATTGTGCTGGCAGCTGCACCAGCAGCTGTTTTGCAGGACGAGGAGCACCTTTGGCTGCTGCTGATGTCAACTTCTTACCAATGAAATTCATGAGCAGGATAACGAGATGCAGCGTGAGCGTCGACTCAGCAAGATTGGAACACGAGTGAACCTTCAAATCCACAGATTTCCACCTTTTTAAGGAAGCTTAAGAGTTGGCTCTAATGAAGGTGTTGTGGCTTTATTAGGCGCTGACAGATGAGAGACGAGTCAGTGGACTCGAGTCAGGGACATTTACTCCACTCTGTTGGAAGAATAATGAACGTTACACGCTGCTGCCTCTCCAGCCTGATGGGATTCAGACAGCTCCTTCAGATGTTGTCCACTCGCCGTCTCTCCACCATCACACCCCGCACTGAAGTCCGGCGTCTGCTGTTGAGCTCGAGTGTCAGCACCTGTGGTCTTTCAATGAATCCCGTCTGGTGCTGCCTTTAAGGATGTTTGAGTATAAAATGGCCTTCTGCTGTTTTACAGTTTAACAGATTTACAAATCCACACTTTCATATCTTTCCTCCCCGCTTTTTTTCTTTTTGAGTAGATGTAGAAAAGAGTAAAAAATAATTATTACATGCATAATCATGGTGGCTGAAGAAATACTCTATTATTCTCCCTTCTTACCAGTGATGTCTGGTCCAGTATGTGAATGAATATGTGTCTGTCTGAGAAAGCTGGATCGGGTCTCAGTGACAATAGGCCAATCAAGGCCAATCTGTGCAATTCAGTTCTATATTGTTCAGTGGTTTCTGCTCCACCTTTCAGCACCTCTGCACCGGTTAAAGAGGATGGAGGAAGCTAACAGGAAAGGGTCAGCAGTGTGGAGGCTTTTCAGACCTCCAACTCTTTTTCTTTGGTTTTTTTAAGTCTCTCATTTCATGTCACTTTTAACACATTTAAGGAAACATAACTGC